TTGATTTCAGTTCATCACAACAGGAGACAAGTCCTCAGGAGAAGGGGGGCGTCCATCCCGTGATCTCCAACTAATGAACTCAGGAATGAAATGAGAAAACAGAGAATTTTGTAGGCAACAAAGCTGGGGGAAGGGTGTAAACATAGAGGGTTTTTGAGTTAGCAAGATTTTGCTGGAATTTAGTTGTGTGTTTTTTTCCCCCCACTTGTAAGCAAATGTTGAGAGGAGAGCCTTTGGGGAGAGGTCGGATGGGGTGGATGAAGCAGCAGACAGTGCTGTGGGAACTTGCGCTCTGCAGGGTAGACAGTGTTTACATCTGGACTGTTCAATACTTTGAGTAACGCTTTTGCATATATGTGGGGGAGGGGTTGAAGTTAACAAAGCCGTTTTAAAGCGAGGGATTAAGAAGACACTCACTAAGCCAGAGTTATTAGTTATATTATTAACTTCTGGCCAAGGAATCAGGTTAGTCTAGGCAGCTCTGCTCAGGGGAAGGGGCTGAAAAGGAGTGGGGAGGGGAGTAGCTGGCGTGTGGTCACTCGGCTCCAGCTGTGGCCTGCACATGGCAGGGCACAGAGCAGAGCCAGAGTGAGCGGCTGAGGCAGAGGGACCGCGAGGCTGGGCTGTGCGTACCTCTGTGTGTCCTCTTCCCTCACCAGCCCTTTAGGACACAGGGCAGTCTTGAAAGCACAAGTCAGATCACGTTACTCTTTTATTTAAAACTTTCCCATTGCACATGGACACTTGAAAGTCTTGAGTTTCCTTTGTTTCTTCGGTTTGTTCCCCACTTCTTCCAAAGAAGAGGGTTTCAAGAGGGGAATAGATTTAGTCATCATTCCCCAGGCACTGGCGATAAAAAAGAAGAAAACTGTGACTTCCTAAATTCTCTCTACGTGCAATCTGGTGTCCTCCATAAACAGAGAATGTATCGAGAGACCTGGGATGCGTGGAACTGACAGTGCTTTCTCAGAAATGGAATGGCTGGGATCATTTAGCTCAACTCCCTCACTTTACAGATAAGGAAGCTGAGCCACAGAGGAGGCAAGTGACATCTTAAGTGAGTGCCAGGGGTGAATCAGCACTCATGTCTCCTGACTCCTGGCCCAGTGAGTTAGATGCCCTCAATGGATGGACAGCTCTGCAGATGAAGAGAATTGAGGCTGGCAAGCAAGGGTGGCAAGGCCAGGCAGATTTGGGGAGGGGTTGGGGGGAGGAGACAGCTGGTAGGAAATGGAAAGGCTGTGAAGAGTCAAAATATCCATTCCTGCCCTAACTGGTTTGGCTCAGTGGATAGAGTGTCAGCCTGGGGACTGAAGGGTCCCAGGTTTGTTTCTGGTCAAGGGCATGTACCTTGGTTGCGGGCACATCCCCAGTAGGGGGTGTGCAGGAGGCAGCTGATCCATGTTTCTCTCTCATTGATGTTTCTGACTCTCTATCCCTCTCCCTTCCTCTCTGTAAAAAATCAATCCGATCTAATAAAGAGGGAATATGCTAATTGACTGCAAAGATGGCGGTGCCCAGTCCCCTCAGCCCCCCAGCCTCCCAGGGCTGCCCGAGGCTCAGGTAACCAGGGCCAGCTGAGGCTTGCGCAGTGGCAGCAGCAGAGGTGTGATGGGGCGTCACCTTCCCCTGATTGCCGGGTCGTCTCCCGCCCCTGAGGGCTCCTGGACTGTGAGAAGGGGCAGGCCGGGCTGAGGGATCCCCCCCTCCAGTACATGAATTTTCATGCACCAGGCCTCTAGTAAGGTATATTTTTTAAAAAAATATCCATTCTTGCTGGCTGTATCCCCAGGACAGACTATGTTCCCAAATACTCCTTAACAGAGACACAGAAGAACCACATGGATGAGTTGCCCAAAGCCCATGACATGTCATTTGTGCCTAAAGACTGAGCATCCCCATTTAACTAGCCTCTTAATCCAGCTCTTTAACCTTGTTCTTTTTTTTTTTTTTAGTCATTTGAGACCCTCTGCCTTTTTTTGTTTGGTTTGTGGCTACAGTTTAGAATCTACCTGCCCATTTGTCTCAGGTTCTAGGCTGAAGGAAAATAAAGAAGATAATGATGGTGAACTTGGGCAATGTGATGTGCCTGCAATGTTCTGCTATTCTGAAAAGGAGCATAGAGGGGAAATTAAAAAGTTCATGAGTCAACATTATGTTTGTTCCTCTATTATGAGGAATACTGCCCCTATTTTGTGAAGCATAATCATTTGTTAGTTTCAGTAAGACATTTATCTGCCCACTGATAAGGAAACAATAAAGGCATTTACTGTGCTAGTTTCTCGAATGTGAAATGTAAGCTGTGGTCTTTGTTTGTTTGTTTTTAGCTTTCATTTATGATCATAGGCTTTAGGGCTGAAGGGGGCCTTGGAGGACGGCCAGCCGCACCACCACCCCCTGCTCAGGAAGCCCCTTCCCAGCCTCCCGGGTCCCTGCCCTCTGCATCCCACAGCAAGTTGCCTCAAAACACTTACTCATTTTCCTTTAAATTACAGTTATTTGAGGACTTTTCTTAAGCCTCAGCTGTGACCCCCTGAGGGCAGGAATCCTGTCTCATTCCTCTTTGATCTCCCACAGCCCCCAACACAGAGACTGGACCAGTCTCCTTAAATATTTGAATGAGTGACAAGGTGTTAACAGCCTCAAGAAGGCAGCACAGTTAGACATTTCTAATAGCTGGAAAGTTCTTCCTGAAAGTGAGCAGGAATCTGCCTCCCTGGGTTCCTTGTGGGGGAGAATGGAAATAGGCGGTGATGACAGAGGGCCAGCCACCCACGAAGTACAGGAGGGACCCTGGACACAGACTGGTGCCCTGCTCTTACTGCTTTCCTTGCTTCCTGTCTGGCCAGAGAACACAAGGTCTTTTTCCAAGGACAGGAAAACGCAGCAATTCTAGACCTGGATACATGTGTGTGGGGGGGCCAGTTCCAGGATTCGAATCCACGTGGCAATGCCCCACCCATATCCCCTCAGCCCACCCTAGAGGTCATCTGCAGACAGTTTCCCCACACATTGACAGCTTCCTGGGTTTCTCTGCCCAGGGTCACGCTCTGACCTGTGGAGTGTGCTTGGCCTGTGTGGAGGTCAGGCTGGAAATGCCAGGAGTTATTCCAGGAGAGACCTACAACAATGAGCAATGAGCAAACACCCCAGATTCCTCACCTCCGGGTGGGACAGCTCAGAAGAGCGCTCAGGAGGGATGCCCCCCAGTTGCTCATAGCAGTGACCCACTCATGAACACACCCTTTCTTCATGTTTCTCCCTGTCATCTTTGACTTCCCTGCTCCCTCACTGTGCTTCCTGGGATTCCACCCAAGTAAACTACCTGCCCCAACCGTTGTCTCAGGGTTCTCTTTGGGGGAACCCAAATAAGATAGAGACATAGTCAGGAAACTTGGGGGAATCCAAATGTTATTCCCTTAGAAGACAGGACTTTTGAAATCAGTACATGCCTTTTTTCTTTTCCTTTCTATTTCTAAGTGCAGAGTTGGTTTTTCTGTCAGTTCTATAAATAGAGTTTAATTTTAAGTGGAATCTATGTCCTAACTCAGAAAACAGGGCTGATAATGACTTCTAAATCTCTGAAGGATCGTTATTTCAAACAACAAGTCTGATATTCTAGTTCATGAAGGAAATGTACTATGTCAGAAAGATCTCGGGCCAGACTAAAGAAATGCATGGGGGTCATTAGGCATCAGGATGGATTTGTGTCCAAGTGTGACACCTAACCTTTTAAACTTCACGGAGTTTTTTAAATGAAGCGGGGACCTTATCTACCTGGCTCTGGTTTTGGGATGGAATGCTTAGGAGAAAGCTAAGATGAATGGGTACCATGAGGGACGAGGGAAAGGAAAGTAAAGAACCTCATTAAACGTACCCAGTATTAATGAGCTACCCCTGAGCTACTGGAACCAAGAGAAAATGCTGTTGTTGAAGAATATTTATTATCACTTGAAAAGATTTGTAACAAAGATCAAGGCTGTACAGGCCACCTGCCACCCTTCTTCAGGCAGACACTGTGTGAATCAGAAGGGCTCTCTGTGGGCGCCACACTATCACTTGATTGTTTTGACACCTCAGACCATTAATAGGAGGTAGCAGTTGAAAATAACCATGCTCACTGGTCTTATGTTTGTGGGGGTTTTCTTTGGTCTCATTCCTTCCTGGAGCGTTTTCTGCTAGCCTAGTAGGAAACAACGCACATGGTGGTCATGAATTTTAACTGGCAATGAATGATGGGAATGAGTGTGAACAATACCTTAAGATGAAAGGAGTCAGCAGGGCCAGGAGAGCCCCACAGATGCCTTTTGGGGTCAGGTGGGGAAATGTCCCTAAGTAGAGATCGGAAAGGGTTCCATCGATCTTATTTTTAGCATGGAAAAATGTCGTGGTTTTGAATGTTCTCTTTATTTAAACCCCGCCTGATGGCCAGTGCCTAGCTCTTGTGGAGGAGGGAGCAGTGTGGGGGCAGCTAAGTCTTTGCTTGTGATAGGAAGATGTGGAGTTACAGTGTAACATCTGTCCTTTGCCCTCATTAATGTGCAATGGTGCCCTGTTGTAGGTGGCAATAATGGCCTGGGTACAGCTCTCTCCTGAGAAAGAGAGGTGCTTTTGCCTCTTTAGTCTGAGCCGTTACTTGCAGAGAGTAACTCTTAGAAGTACCATGCTGTCCCCTTGGCATGGCCTCCTAAGATGATAGTGAGATTTACTGAGGCAGTCTACGCAAAGTGACTGCATTTATGTGCAATAGTAGTTGGCACGAAAACTATTCCCATCCCCAGAATAAAAAGCCTCCGTTACTGTACCTGCTATCTGTAGAAATTTTATCATAGACAAAGACTTACCTTAGGCCCAAAATGGATATGCTATTGTGGCCTATCCCATCCTCTCTCATGCTTTTTATTTGGGGTAGCTTCCTTCCCCAAATCCTCACCCCAGTAGTGCTCAGTGGATGCCTTTCCAACCTGCCCCACGGAGCGCTCACTCTCCTTTTTTTCCAGAATGCCTATGTCAACATCAACCGCATCATGTCCGTGGCTTCCCGCCTCTCTGAGGCCGGTCATTATGCCTCGCAGCAAATCAAGCAGATTTCCACGCAGCTGGACCAGGAGTGGAAGAGCTTCGCGGCTGCCCTGGATGAGCGCAGCACCATCCTCGCCATGTCCGCGGTATTCCACCAGAAGGCCGAGCAGGTGAGGCCAGGGGAGCAGGTGAGGCCGGGGTTTCTGTGGGTGGGAAGGGAGGAGGACCAGGGGAGGGGCAGGAGGGAGAGCCCTGGTAGAGAGCCCCTCTCTTTGAAACCCTGAAGGCCCTGCTGAGTTGTTGCAACAGTAACGCAATCTGCCACTTTCGTGGCCCCGGGTACATAAAGGAACAGTGATGGCTGTGCTTTGTCATCCAGATGAGAAGGACCCAGGGCCTGTTTACATTCATGGGGTAGTTTGTTGGTGTGTGTCCTTGTGTGGGCTGACTTTTAGTTTGCGTTCCCTGAGCATAGACGAAAGGGGTGAAAGTATCATAAGATCCTAAGAGCAGGGGACACTGATTTTACATAAAGCATTTGCTATGGATAATAATAATGTAGCATTAACACTAGAAGTAACAATGATTTGTTCTCATTTACTTACTGGTATTGGCCGGTGACATTACTGACTCCTTTTACAGAGAGGAGCCTTGAAGCTCAGAGAGAATAAGAGACCTGCCTGAGACCCAGTGGTGGGCTGGAGCTGGCTCTAACCAGATCATGGAGGTCTAGTTAAAATTCTAGAAATGTTGTAAACTGGTTATTAAATATAGCCATTACTTAAAACTAAATTTATATCAAATATGTCATATTAAAAACAAAGCCAACACATACTCAAAACTCATTACATCCTAATTATTTTGTTACATTTCATTATCTAAGTTCTTGACATTGTTTATTATCTATCTGGAAGTGTATATCTATGGTGGAAATACTATACAGTGTGTGCTGCCAGTCATCGCTGCCTAACTATGTGTTTGGTGAGGTCACTTGAAATAGATCCAGGGAGGGGATTTACAGCCTGGGAATCATCAAATGCTACAAACCACGGCTTGATCTGTTGTTTTATTGATTGTCTAAACTCTAGAGTCTTACAAAACGAGGGAGAAAAAATTTAGAAGTGCAGACTAAACTTAAAGTGTGTCTTGTCTGTAGCTCTTACATTGTGAATAGCACACAGAATTGAGGAAATAGTCTTCTGATATTCAGAAACGATTATTCCATTCAGCCAAGAAGCCCCTCTCATCTCGGATGAACAAGTTATGCTCTGACATAAGTCTTGAGGTATTTTCACTTTTGTCTTACACCAAAATTGAAACTATTAACCAGCTTTCATGTCAAAACTATACAACTGTGTCACATACAAAAGCACCCTGTGAGGATCAGTTGGCTACATGGAATTTACAATAAAGAGCATTGTGTATGTTATTATTCTGTGCAAATTATGTTTTGCATATCTTTCATGTTAGTAAAGTTTATAATACACATGTGTGTGTGTACATACATATATATGCTGGTGGCTAAACATTTACTAACATACCACTGTGAAATTCACACAATTTACGGATAACTGGGATTTCAACCCATGTGTGTCTAACATTAAAGTCTGTGGTCTTAACCTCTACATTTCTTTCTTTGTATAACATTTGGTAGCTTCCCAGATAATGGAGAGTTGGACACAAGATCATAATCTTTCCCTCTGTTACCCACCTAATGTGGAAGGCAATATGGGATCGTTGAGAGTCCAGGCTTGGTGAACAGACACATGGAGGTTCCCATCGCAGCCCCATGATTCATTTACATTAGGCAGTTAATCCCACTCATCTAAGCTTATTTCCTCATTTCTAATGTGGGATAATTCAAACTTCCCAGCGCGATGGAGCATGGAAGGTGCCTCATGTGCTTTTTAAATGGCAGATTCTACTGTGGGTCTTTCTTCAACATACTCTCCTGGTGTTCTGTATTTCCTTCACTGCGCCTGTTTCCACCTGAGACCTTCCAAAATCTAAAATACTTGTGTCACGAGTCAAGGGCAGCCCCGTATATTGAGAGTGATCTAGCCACATGTTCTCTTGGATAGTGGTAATGGCCGACTGTGACTGGTTCATTCTAAGGACCATGAGAATATTATTCATATCTAGTCACCTGTTCCATTTCAGCCCTATCCAGATTGGCAAGGGAGACTCATGCTTCCTTCTCTGTCTATCTTTCTTGAGCTCCCTTTTGTGGGATCTGCTATAGGACTCTTGTTAGAGGGTTACAGAGAAATCGCAAGGACTTTAAAGAGAGGCCCCCTCTAACAATTGACACAGGAATGTCAGGTGTTTTCAGGCTTCTTTGTAAAATGATTATTGGTGGAGCAGAGAAGCTTCTGAGATGTTATCAAGTACGTGCAGTCTGATGCAGGATAGCACCCATGACTCTTCTAGAATTGTTAAGAGATGTCCTAATGTAATTAAACACACACACACACACACACACACACACACACTGAAAAATCAGCCACACAACCGACAGCCCAGGACTGAAAGCTGACGGTGACACCAAGACTGGAACTCGAGCACTTATAGAAAATGCAGTGGCTGGAGGAGTCAAACTGCTCGCTGTGGTTTCCTTAATTTGGATCAGGAGCAATTTTATTTGTATCTGTTTTTAATGCAGTTTCCGCAGATATTATCCCTTCTTCAGGGAAACTCATAAACTATGATTCTCTTTAGCTAGGGGAGGGGAAGTGGGGGGGGGGGCGGTAAGGGAGAGGGGAGGGGGGGCACCAAACGGATTCAGGCTGTTTTTTTCAATGCGTTTGTTTAGGCAGTTCTTTATTGCCCTCCCATGGGCTGTTCTAGGTAATGAGGAAAAAAGGTATTTAGGCAGTTAATTTGAATGGTGCTGTGCACCCAGGTGAGAGGAATCACAGACAGAAACATTCCAGGCCGTTGGGTGAAGAATTACTTGCATATTTAAGGTGTATTTTTCCACCCAATAACTCTGAGTGATTTCAGTTGGCTCACCCTTTGTGCACAGAGACCCATAGTCCTCCACAGTTGTTAATTTTCATTTTTAAATAATTTGATATCTGTCAAGATCTATATATATCACATTCCAGGAGCCACTGCCACTGTAGGCACAGTACAGTCTGTCCCCCTAGGCCACCCCTCCCCCTCCCATCCCAGGGCTACTGGCCCAGCAGTAGGGATCTTCTTGAGGGTTAATCTCCATTCCTTGTGGGAAACGTCTCTGTAAATTCCCTGAGGGGCCTGTATGATGTGTTCTTCACTCCTCTTCACAACTTAGTCTCCACACTACAAAGTACCTGTATGGAAACATCCCATTACATTCAGTGTAGCCCCTCCCATGTGCCTGTGAGTGTGCACAGGACAAGCAGCTCTAATGTATACATGCAATGTAGTGAGCTGTTTGCACACCTATATTGCATAGTCAGTGTGTGGATATGACCTGTTGAACATTCAGATGGCTCCCACCCCCAGCAGTTTCATAATAGTTATGTTTGTTTGTGGAAACCACGCTTCCTTACCGGGTCTGACTTCTTACATGGAGTTAATGTTTATACAATTAAAGGAAAACCTCCACCCTCTGCAGTGGTCTCTGAAGGCTTCCAGAGGTAGTGATGCCTCTTCCCAAGGCATCTGACCATCTCTACTATATGATCTGCCCATTGCCCAACCCAGTGCCCACACTGACCCAGTTGGCATCTCCTTCCAGTTCTTGTCAGGAGTGGACGCCTGGTGCAAGATGTGCAGTGAAGGTGGCCTGCCATCCGAGATGCAGGACCTGGAGCTGGCGATTCACCACCACCAGTCTTTGTATGAGCAGGTGACACAGGCCTACACAGAGGTGAGAACACCCAGGGGTCCTGACTGTGTGTGTATGAGCGGGTGGCGACAGCACCAGCCTGTACACTGCGGAATACCCTAGGTTGGACTAAGAAGAAGAGAGGCCATTTTCCTCTCTTTGGAGACTCTTTATGATCTTTGGTCTATGAATGATGGTATCTCCAGCCAGGAAGCAGAGAAAATGGGGCCATCAGCAGGGATCATCTGGATGTATGTGTGTGTGTGCGCGCACCCACATACAGCACTGAGGCTGAGGAACCCAGGAGCACGGATGGTGTGGCCACAATCTTAGAGTCCTTCCTTTACTCTGCATATTCTGGAAAGATGGGGATGTCACCACTTTCAGGAGAAAATAAATGGTTGTATAGGAGGAGAGCAAAAGAAGGATCAATATAAAAGAAAGAAATTGACAAGGAAAGAAAGAAGACAGGAGAGAGAAATGATGATGATGATGAAGATAGAACTGGTAGCCAATCCCAGGTGCTGGGCCCCAGTCTAAGTGCCCTGCGTGTGTTAACTCATTTAATCCTCACCACAACCCTAGGTATGCACCATCACTCTCTCTACAAGTTCCTGAGGCAAGAAAACTGAGGCCAAAGATGTTAGATAACTTTTCTCTTGTCACACATCCAGAACTTTGGAAGCAGGTAGAGGAAGGTGAAGAAGAAAGAGGGGGAGAGGTTTATGATGTCAACATATACTCAGTTTCATTTCTGAACAGTTCTTCTGCCTGACCTGTCAGTGAGTTAGTCAAAGTACGTATCAAGTACTGTGTGCCAGGCATTGTTCCAGGTGCTGGGGAGGCGGGCAGTCTCTGCCCTCATGGAGTGAAAATTCCATGGAGAGAGAAACTGATTCAGGAGTTTCACAGCCGCTGGGTGCTGCCCTGCAACTCCTCTCCCCCAGACTCCCAGGTGCTCCGTCCTCCCCAGGCTGTGGGCTGGGCACTATGGCAGTGCTGGCTGGCCCATTCCTTGATTGTCGTCCGTCTGGGTAGGATTAGCCACCAATTCTGTCTGTGCCCTGTCTGCTACTCCACTCCCTTGACACGACCCTCTTCCCTTCCTGCAGGTCAGCCAGGATGGCAAGGCCCTGCTGGATGTGCTGCAGCGTCCCCTGAGCCCTGGGAACTCTGAGTCCCTCACGGCCACAGCGAACTACTCCAAGGCAGTGCACCAAGTGCTGGACGTGGTGCACGAGGTGCTGCACCACCAGCGGCGCCTCGAGAGCATCTGGCAGCACCGCAAGGTGCGGCTGCACCAGCGGCTGCAGCTCTGTGTCTTCCAGCAGGACGTCCAGCAGGTAACAGGTCCCTGTACCCGGCACCCCTCCCCCCACAGGCCAGCAGACGGCTGAGTCCCTGACCTGGGTGGTCAGGCCTGGGATCATCTGATTTATGAAGAGAAGAGAGCAATTTAGCCCCAGCTGCACCCCTCATGACCCCCACACACAAAAAAACCATCTGGACTTGTTAATTGCATGCTTCTCAACTCAGCAGCCCTATAGACTGGGCCTTCTCACCCTGAGGTTTTGGGAAGGGAGGAAGCTTGAGGAATAGCAATTCCATGCAGTTATATGACATAGTTTTCTTTGGGGAGAGCTTGACCCTCCCTCAGGCATGAGCTGTCTGCACAATTCAAAGGCCTGGGGTTATCTGAGCATTGTCAGGGTGAGACCCCACATAAAATGAATTCATTTCTTTATTATGGATGCAGGCGGCCTGCTAGAGTGGAGGTTTGGGGTGGGATACAGGTCCTTCAGGGGATTCTTTGGCAAGATTGGACTTGGGAAACCAGATTTAAAGCATGAGCTGTTGATGACTGTATATCCCATAATGAGAGGTTGTTTCTAGCTTAACCTGTCTTTTTGCATTATTATACCAGTCGTGGCTTTTTCCTTTACCACAAATAATAAAGATATGGTCATGTTTCTGACTTTAAAAGGACAGCCTTGCTACAAATGTCCTTTTGGATGAAATCACCCATTCTTTTCCCCTCATACTTTCTCTCTCTGTCTCCCTGGGGACTCCTGGGCTTTGCTCTGAGGACTGATACATTGGGTGGGGGAGCTGGTTGGGAGCTGAGGACTGGATGGAGGCCCAGCATCATCTGTCTCCCTGCTGGTTCACTGTGAGAGGCAGGGGTGGGGGCACTCATATTACTAGATCTTTATGGAACCACCACATAATTTCAAGATTATACATATAAAATGATGTTTCACTCTCCTTCCATACCCTATGGTATTGACCACATGTAATCCAAAAATGTATCAAAATATGCAGGGGGGCAAAAGTAGGTTTACAGTTGTGAGTACGCAGAACAGAATTTATTCTTGTGTCATTATTTATTGATTATTGTATTATTTTCACCATGAACAGCTGTAAACCTACTTTTGCCCCCTCCTGTACATGAAAAATGGAAAGCCAACTGGACATGTCTTTGGAAGCTGATTCTTTTCACAGCTGTTGTTGGGGGCCTGGCAGTGGGTGTCCTGAGATAGAGGCCAGGTGGAGGGAGAGCAGGGCTCCTGCACTAGCTGGGACCCACTCTGGGGGCGGGGTCACTGTGCAGTGAGTCCCAGAAGTGACCAGGCCTTCAGGAGTGTCCCCCATTTGGGGGCTGCCCTAACCTCCTGGAAGCGCCCCCGTTCCTCATCGGGGGCAGTGATTGAGTCATTAGAGACAATGCCTGAGCCTCAGGAGAGACGACATCGCTGATGTGCTGGCCCAGCTCTGAAACTGTGGGGCCTGCTGGGAATGGAGAAGCAAGGGGCTCAGTGGCCTGCTCCTGCCATTGGGAGCTATCCAGAGAAAGGCATCATCCCTGAGCACAGGAGGGCACAGGGTCCATGACTGAGATAGGGAGGTGCCAGGCCCCAGGCATTTCTAGTTCAGCGGACTCTGAGTGACTCATGGAGATCACCAGGTCCATGGATTGTGCAGCTTTCTTGGTGTGCTCTTTGCCCTCCTTCTGTTTTCATGGCTGTTATTCTAGGACTAGAGGCCCTGTGCACAAATTCATGTACCAGTGGAGTCCCTTGGCCTGGCCTGCGGGATCCGGCTGAAACCAGCTCTCTGACATCCCCTGAGGGGTCCTGGATTGTGAGAGGGCACAGCCAAGGCCAAGGGACCCCACCAGTGCACAATCAGGACCAGGGAGGGACTTGGGAGGTTGGTCAGCTGGGGAGGGACTGCGGGAGTGCTCCAAGGTGTGTCCAGCCCATCTTACTCAGTCCCAATCAGCTGGACCCCAGCAGCAAGCTAACCTACTGTTTGGAGCATCTGCCCCCTGGTGGTCAGTGCACGTCACAGTGAGCGGTTGAGCAGCCTTAGCATATCATTAGCATATTTGGCTTTGATTGGTTGAACCACCGACCAGTCAACCAGACACTTAGCATATTAGGCTTTTATTATATAGGACTAGAGGCCCGGTGCACAAAAATTTGTGCACTCGGGTGGGAGAGGGGGTCCCTCAGCCCGGCCTGTGCCCTCTTGCAGTCTGGGACCCCTCAGGAGATAATGACCTGCTGGCTTAGGCCTGCTCCCAGGTGGCAGAGGGCAGGCCCAATCCCTAGGTGCAGCCCCTGGTCGGGCTCAGAGCAGGGCCGATTGGGGAGTTGGGGTGCCGCCCCCTGTCATGCACAGAGCAGGGCGGATCAGGAGGTTGTGATGCCACCCCTAGTCACGCTCAGGGTAGGGCCGATTGGGGGGTTGGGGCGCCGCCCCCTGTCACACTCAAGGCAGGGTCGATAGGGAGGTTGTGGTGCCACCCCCTGTCACGCACAGAGCAGGGCCCATCAGGGGGGTTGGGGTGCCGCACCCTGTCACACACAGAGCCGCAGGGCGATCAGGGGGTTGGGAAGCTCCCCCCTGTCAGGCACAGAGCAGGGCTGATCAGGGGGTTGGGGCGCCTTCCCCTGTCACGAACAGAGCAGGGTGGATAGGGAGGTTGTGGCCCTGCCCCCTGTCACACACAGAGCCGCAGGGCAATCAGGGGGTTTGGTCGTTGCCCCCTGTCACGCTGCTCCAGGGGCCAGGAGGCCTCGCAGCTCCGCTGATCCCGGTGCTGGGAGGCCTCGCTGCTCCGCTGATTCCGGTGCCGGGTGGCATATTACCCTTTTACTATATAGGATAGAGGCCTGGTGCACCAGTGGGGGCTGGCTGGTTTGCCCTGAAGGGTGTCCTGGATCAGGGTGGGGGTCTCCACTCGGGTGCCTGGCCAGCCTGGATGAGGGGATGATGGCTATTTGCAGCTGGTCACACCCCCTTCAGGGTGGAGGTCCCCACTGGAGTTGCTGGCCAGTCTGGGTGAGGGGCTGAGGGCCATTTTCAGGCTGGCGGGTGACTGAAGCTCCCAACCTGTCCTTTTTTTCTTTTTTTTTATTCTGGGCCAGCTTTAGCTCTGAGGCTTGGCTCCAGCTCTGAGGCCTCGGCTGCTGAAAGCAGGTATCTGATTTGTTTGGGTTCTATAATAGTAACACTGTTGCGGTCCTGCTCACTCCAGCTCTGAGATCCTGGCTGGCTGAAAGCAGGGATCTGCGTTTGTTCTATAATTGAAACAATGTTGCGGACCTGCTGGCTGAAGCCCGGGTGGCTGAAAGCAGGTTTTTGGGGTTTTGTTTAGCTTCTATATTTTTAACAATGTTTCTTAAACTGCAAGCTCAGAGGCCGGCAAGGCAGGCGGGGAACGTTGGCTTCCTCTGTCACTGAAGCAAGCAAGCCTCCTGTTTGCTTCAAGCTGCCTGGCTGCCGGCCGCCATCTTGGTTGGCAGTTAATTTGCATATTGCCCTGATTAGCCAATGGGAAGGGTAGCGGAGGTACGGCTAATTACCATGTTTCTCTATTATTAGATAGGATGGGCATTGGAAAGGGGCAGAGGGGCTGTGAGGAGGGCGGGCAAAGACCTCCCCACCAGGAAGGCAGCATCCAGACCTGGATTATCTGGGAGCTGTTAGACTTTCCTGTGGCCACCATGGCATCTGCACTAAAGCCAGGAAGAAATGTATTAAACTACACCTGTGGCTCTTCTATAGCATGCTCTTAAAAAATGAGAGCATTTCTGGAAGTGAAACTCCATTAATTCATCTCTACTGTACAAATCACATTGTTGGCACCGAGGAAGAGCAAGCGAAAGATTTCAAGGTGACATGATGGAGCTCTGGATTTCCCATGGGAATGGAATTCCCCAGGCTGGTTCATTCCATTGTCTTTTCAGGTTAGGAGAATATCACCTCTGGGAGCATCACTTCACTCACCCATGGTCCCCCTCACTCTTTCTCACCATGTATCTGACATTGGGACAGATGCACAAGAAAAATGTGCAAGACAAGGGCTACCAAACCTGGCAATGATCTCAAATGCTTACCTAACACCCCAACAACCATTAGTGCCTGGCAGGGTGTCTGAGCCGGTGTTGCAGAAGGTGCTGGATATAATGCACTAATGGTTAGAGTGAAGGACTCCTGGCTCCCAGAACTTCTATATAGTTATTGTTTTTTATATTTTTTATATATTATATAAAACTTTATATATTTTATATCTTTATTATATAAATCCTATATACTTACCAATTTTGCATGTTTCATCTCTTCTATGCCAGTATTTTCGTGAGACTAGAAACCCTGGCTTCTTCCTCTCTGTGCCCCAAACAGCTCTTGGCTGTGTCTGGCATGAAGCTGGGGTTCTCTTTACTTTTTCTCCCATGAGCTGAAATTATCATTTGGGGACCCCAGTTTCTGCTTCTGTGAAATGGACCCTCCCTTTGAACATATTTAGTAGTTGTGGGTAGATGGCTGGAGTCTGCCTGCAGGTGTTGTGATGTAGAGGTATTGAGGGTTCCAGGTACTTACAGCCCAGGCGGAGGACATGGAGACACCCTCAGTGCCCATCAGTTACTCAGCAGTTGGCCCAGCCCTTTGCTAGGTTCTGGCAAGATGCCCGGCATAAGACACGCACATTTGAAAATGTAAAGGACAGGCTACGAAAGCATGCCAGTCAGCGTGCAGGGCAATAGAGTATTGATGGAACCGTTATAGGCAGTGGCGTGAGAGTTGGTGTCTTGAAGGAGGAGAGAATTGTTTGAACCATGTAGTCTGGATCTAAGACTCTTGAGCCCATTTGGAATCCAGAGGTATTTGCTCTGCAGCCTACATGGGAACCTGTGAGCAAGACTCAGTGGCTGGGGCAATACAGAACCGCAGATTATTGGTTACTCAGCAAGCATGGGCTGTGGAGTCAGGCAGCCTGGTTTCAGTCCTGCTCTGACCGATCTTGGCTGTGTGACCTTGGCAGGTGTTTCACCTG